TGTTTTATTTAGTGTTTCTGCTGTAAAAAAAAAAAAAAAACTATTTTAAAAGTTCTTGCTACTTTTAGGATGGGCTACAGAGGGCGTGAGTTGATGGTGAACATAGGTAAAGTGGCTGCGCAATCTGGCGGATCTTTCGGCATATTTTTATTGGTTGCACAGCTTTTGAGGTGCTAGCCCAAAACGCTATTTATTACTCCTCTAAAGAACTAAAATTTGATTCATGATAGGGATATTTGGCTATGCTTTTTTTTGACTTTTAGGAATATGTAGACTAGACGAAAATACTTGAGAGGATAAGATAGTTTCGTTTTCGTTTCTTTCTTCCACTATAGTTCTTTCGTAGTGAGGGGTACAGGCGTTTCTTAGTTGTTTTGGTTTTAATACTGTCGTATACTACTGCTGTACGACTGCTGTACGACAGCTAACTTGTTGCTTCGCTGTATTTTTTGAGGTCTCGATTATGTGAGTGTACTTTGAGTCTTGATGATTTATTTAAGAATGAATTCACGATTCCTATGAAGTATGTTTCTTGTTTACTCACAGTTGTTGCGTTCGCATCCGCACCGGGCTATAAATGATTAACCACTATTTAGGCACTACTTTTTAACGTTTAGTGATGTTGTTATTTGTCATGTTTTTAACGTCACGTATAAATGCTTGGCTTCCAAGCACCGGTAATTCAATACTTCTTCTTTCATTTATACACTCATTATTTGCCACTTTTACTGAACAGTCAGTTTATATCGCTACCAGGTTTTTGTGGAGTTTCTGTGTCAGTAGATTTTTAGCTGCTTTTGAATGACAACTTTTCATCTGAAAATGCATTATTCGCAGTTAACTTCCTTAATTGCTTAAAACTGGCTAGGGTTGGCACCAGGTTTCAGAAGCAAGAAACTGGAAGTTTGTAGTGACCCATCTCTTCAGATGATACTTAATCATAAAGGTTACGCTTGATATCTTGTAGAGTGAGGTGAAGCTCTGTTGTTTGCAAGTCTACAGAGAAAGTTGGGAGTTTAAATCTCTTTTCAGTGTCTTAAGTGGTGGACGTTAAAGAACTCTTGGACTTAGTATGCGGTAAGGGTTTTTTCTGTATAAGCAAAACACCAATTTGAGTTGTTTTTTGCAAGATATTTGTTTTTTCATGGCATAAAACATTTCGTGGTAATGCCAGCTGATCTGATGCATTTTAAACGGGGTTTTTTTTGAATCACGGCGTTTCACTTCATATTGAATTTCTTGGTTTGTTTAATCGTTCCATTGCTGCATTCTAGTTCATTCACACGGCTTCTTTTCAAGTCTAAATTATTGATTGAAAAGTTGAAAGGAGGCTGAGGTCGCTAGCTAATATGGAAGATTTTGCTGTAGTAATTTTGAATTTAACCTTTTGAAGGAAAGTAGGTAATTCATCTCTGCTTCTGCTTTTTTGATAATTCCGCAAGAAAAAAAGCTTTGAAGAGTGTAAATAATTTAAACGTTTTTGAAACATTGGTCTTTGGTGGTGAGGTGATCTACTGTCAGATGCTACAGTAATTTTGCATCTGATGCACTCAAAACTAACTTTCCGCTACCATCAAAGGAAGCGTCGAACAGTAGCGTAGTAGGCAAACTTTTTTGAAGACACCATTTCCTTACTAATAAATGTTTTGATTTTTATGTGAAGTTTTATGCTTCGGAAGTAATTTCGAAGTTTTTAATAAAAAGGTTTCCAGTTACTTTTTTACGGAAAATTAAAGTTTTGATACGGAATCTTTGTGGAAGCGCTTCACAGGACGTTCTGCCATACTCTTTATGTTTTCAACGAATCAACTGTACCTCTGATAATTTATAGTGGTTAGGTTAGTAGTAATCGTAATGACAGAAATCACAGTGGAGCTAATTTGATATTTTCTTTAGCTGTTCTGAATGTTCTTGCTGGTCACGAGTTTGAAACCAGCATAGTAAAATGCTACAAATAGTTGCTCTGAATAAAAAAAATGTGTACTTGGATCTTTTTTAGTTTTTTTTTAGATTCATGCGATGGTACTTATTTGGTGTCTTTTCTTCAGGTTCCGAGGAGGAAATGAATATCAGGGAAGAAGTCGCTTTTGCTTGAGTTAGGGCTGTAAATGGCATCAACACAATTACTGAGAAATTCTTGTTTCAGTTATGAGAAATAGTTTTGAGGGACTTTTTTTGATAACAGTTCTTTCGTATAGCTTTCGAACTTTCCTTCTGATAACTGTTCCCACCGTTACGAGGTTTTGGCCATGAATACTATTATGAATTTTTGACGTTAGCTACTTGATACTGTTGATTTTTTTCGGAAGCGTGCAGGACTTATTAATTTATATCTGGGAATGAACAGCAGCTTACATATCTGCTGTTGCAATCCAGAAGTGCCTCAACTTGTACGGTAATTCGATAAAAAAATTAGATTAAATAATTTGCTTTTTCGAGAAAGGCGATGGATTAAGAAAAATTTGTACTAGAAAAGTTTCCTTCAATAACAGGTTTCTTCGACTTGTCGCGGAAACAGCCTTAATCTTCATTTTAACATTCTTTGACGAGGTATTCGTTGTCGGCACCATGAGAAATGTGAAATTATGAAGGGTCTTTGCGTTATTCATAAGTGTACATAAATATTTTGTGTATCCTTAACCAGTTTTGGAAAAAATACTGTCATTGGAACAGAGGATTGCAGTCGTGTGATGTCCTCTGAAATTCAAGGGTGAAAGAACTGTGCTGTAAAGAAATTCTATGAAGCCTTTCTCATATTTTCCAAAAGTATCTGTTTATATAGACGAATAAAAGGTTTGTTCCAGTAGGCGGTAATCTTTCACCTTGATTCTTATTGAAAACTAGTCCTTTTGAATAGGTCGCGTTGCGATGTTACGTAAATTCGAAAGTTCTTTGTCTCAAAAATGTGACAGGCTGATGTACGAATGATTAAAATGTAATTGGGAAGACTGCAAATTGAAGCAGATTTGTTGGAAACGAAACTTTTAAGTGGCAGCAGGCGAAGAACGTTTAACAGACGCAATCTTTAGGGTAATTTGGCAATTAATAACTTCTCAAATTACGACGACCAGACGGATTTCATGATAGCCAGCGGTTAAAGTGTGACGGCGAAGCTTGATCTACTTGTAGTTCCAATTGTTTTATCCACATTTTATTTTCGACAGCTTTATGTTTTCATAAGCTTTTCTACAATGGGCTGTGAGTGTCAAAAATTTAAAATTTTTCTCTTCGTGTATTCACTATGACTTATGACTTGAAAATACTGCTTTTCTTTAAAAACTTTTTCGAAATGCATTATATCTTCCGAGAACTTTTAAATCATGTAAGATTCAGCATCACTTTTTAACTGTGTTATCATAAAAATGTACTTCATCAGTTACACATCACTTACAAATATTACCATGCCGAATTATGACTTAAGTGAAATCATTTGCTTTGGGACAATGTAGAAGAACATTCTTGAACAGAAAGGTTTTATAAATAAATAAGCACTCGCAATTAAGTGCATGCTTATTCCAGTCACTGTTTAAGCTGGTGTCATTGCACAGAAGACAGATAAACAGTCCGAAACCTGTGCTTCAAAAAATTTTGCGTTTTTGTAGCCACATTTAGAGTAATTCTGTTGTTCACGTATAAAATTCGTATCTTTTTGCACTAACAGGTTGAAATGCACTCATGTGGAAACCAAGTTAACTTGACAGAATGCGATAAAAAGTAAACTGAAGTTAGGAGAGCGGGAACTACGACGCAAGATTTGTGGAAAATTCAATTATACCACAGTTTCAGTTGAGAGGAAGGAAAAGACGCCGACAGATATGGGCACCTCTAATTAATTTCATTGAAACCTTCAGGTCTTTCCGCAGTTATATAGCCGATGAGTTTTTAATGAGTTTTTTTTGCTTCTTTAGGCTATTATAGAAAAATCCTGCCTCTTAACTTGATAATAAGGTCTCTGATAAAAGTGCTAAAGAAAAACAGAAAGATCATTATTTTTTTGCTTCGCAGTGGAGCTGCAGTAAGAGTGCACGCTTTAAACATAATTTATCAATTCTAATTTTGAACAGCACTTTTAAAAAACCAGTATCGATATAACCACATTCAACTGCCGTTTATGTAGCATTGGCCGACCAGCACAGAATAAGCTTCGTATTTTTTTTTTTTTTGAACAGCGTTCTGCTTTTATTTCTGCACTAATTTCGCTATAAATTTGATATCACTTAAAGATAAACTTGGTTTTTACAACAGAAGTATCTTTTCATTTATATCGATTTTGATTACAAATAAGACTAAGCTCAAAAAAACTTCTTGAGCACTGTAAAAATTAAATGTTTACGCACCTCACTGCTATTCGGCTATTTAAATTTACATTATTATTAAGGCGGAAAAATAAAACTATTATGTTAAAAGATATTTGTGAACAGAAGGGCAGTTTACCTTAACTGACATGATATAAAAGACCAATTTTATGCCAGAAGAGGAGTTCTTTATGTATATGTGGACTGTTGCAGGATATTAATAATTTATTCTTTACAGCAGTAAACAATTGCGATCATTGGAGTGGATGTATAAATAGTGGTTATCAAACGAAAATAGTGTTAGTATCTATAGTGTTTTCTAAAACAAGGTTTTCACTAGAATATAAAGTGTATATTCTTCCTTTTTCTAATTTCTGCTTATACGGCAACTCAAGATTATTTGCGAATACTTTCTCATCTACCTCTTTCTGAAGTTCTTGAGCTCTACTATTTTTATTTTAGCTATTTATAACACTTCTTATCAGACTTGCTACAAATTCTAGATAGCTTAAAGAACTTATTTCAAGATTGAACAGTTATAACTGCGACACCCACCTACTTTAAATTTTTGTTTAAGGTAAGACCTGCTGTTTTCAAAAATTTTAGATAACGAGTACAGAGACAGAATAATTGTTCGTTGATTATTCTTTAAAATTAGCTCGCGCCTGCAACTTTTAACAACCTTCCGAAATGGCCTCTGCAGATCAGTTAACAAAACTACCTCTCAAGACATAATAACTAGTATTGCCAACTAATTAGTACTAATTTCAGATGCGTTGCTCATGCGAAGAAACTTTGAAAAGCCATATAAAAGATCAAGACTGGTGCTTAAAACATCTTGAAACTATTTATCATAGGAAAATATAGGCAGAAATCGGAAAA